ATAAATGGGTGTTTATTGTATCATTGTATCCATTGTTTGTATCAATGAGCCATCTCCAAACTTAAAAACAAAAAGTGATAGTGATAATGATTCTGATTACTATGGTGATGTTAATGATGAGGGAAAAGGAGAACAAATGGGAAGGAGAGAAAGCAAGTCAGGTCCAATTTACACAAAGGAAATTATTTTATACTATAATTTTTACACTGAAAAAAACCTATGAACTACATTGTACCATTCCCAGAAATTGTCATATCAACTTTAAAAGCATTGAACATGCAGATTATGGATATTTTGGTACTCAAAATGGAACCCTTTCTTTTTAGTTCATCAGCAAATATTTCCTTAGTATCTGCTCTCTACCTGACTTATTTTGAGACACAGCACATTTCTTCCAGCTGTAATATTCTATGGTTCTGTGACACTAGGAGTCTAAATACAATAGCTACTGTAGCTCAAGGCCAAGTCACATTGGTTGCTGTCAGCTGGGCATTTCTTAAGCATCAACTTAGTACCTTAGCTCCTGGATTTGAATGTGAAGATTAGTGAGGCACCAAACGCAGAGACACAATAAGCATCCCAGACACTATTGCCAGTAGGAAAAATGAAGGAGCTGCTTAATCTTTAATACATTTTCATGGCCATTATTTCTCTTGAAATTGCTTTCAAAACCCTTTATTTTGCATGGATAGTTCAGGAATCTTCATCCTAACAGCTACCTTCAGCTACCTTTCATTCAGCACCTACTATGGGCCAGGCCTTGTAAATAGGTACTTAACCTACATTATCTGCAATGCTTACAACAACCCATTTGCCCCATGGTCACACAGCTGCTAAGTGGCAAAACTGGATTTAGAACAGAGCTCTCTGTTACTTTAAAGCTTGGAGACTTCCCTTTGCACTGTGTTACTAAAACTTAGATTACAGGGAGGGAATCAGGATAGTGTAGCTTGGTTGTTTGCCTTTGTGGTCTGCCAGACTTAGACCCTCTCTGCCAAATTAGAAAGGACAAATACAATATATTCTTTTTAATGCCGCAATATTATCATTTGTTAGATGGTACTAAATAAAACGTTTACCTCCACACATTATTTCCCACCACTTTTTGAGGGTAAGGAAACTGTTTCATTCATCTTTATAGTCTCAATCCCTAACACATAGGTACTCTTTAAATGTTATTGAACTGAATTATTAATGGGCCAAAAGAAAAGCTGGTTATAGTAGTAATAGAAATCAAAACATTTTCTTACTCATTTTCTGTGGTACTGCTTTTCTTCACGAAAGCAGTTTTCTGATTAGTTTGCCATTTCAACTCTTCCAAATTGGTTGATATGCTGAACCCAGTTCTCACTCTTTTGGCCTGTGCTTAATTGAGCTCAGTAAGATAATCAGAAATCTGAGTCTGGAGTCCATTTATCTGTGACTGTAATTTAATCAGATTTATATAGCCTAAATTTACTAGCACTTCCATACTATTGAGTCTTTATATTTTGCTTATTTATTGTCATAAAAGCAGCAGAAAAATTTTGTTGAAAGCTTATGTCAGAGAAAAGATTATTTTAAAATTATTAGTTTTCCTTTTGAAGGCTACTTTGGGGTACCCACAGCCTGAAGATCCTCTTGGGATACTCTTTTTATCATCTCCTTTCTCACATTCAGTCTAGAGCTTAAAGTGGGAATTTTTTTTAAGTGTGTTTTCCTGGCATCTCATGTTTAACAGTGTCAGGGGTTTGTGTCCCTGGAACGAAAACTGTTTCTCCAGAGTCTTTTTTCTCTCAGCTTCCAGTGAAAAGAGGGGCGAGGCGAGCCAGTCGCTTACCACAAAGCAGTGCCACCACAAAGGAAAGATTAAGGGTTTAGAGAGAGGTCAATGTGGGTTTTTCTCTAACTAAACACTTTCCTAAAGTTTCCTTGTGGAAAAATAATGAAGTCATCTCAGAGTTTTTAAAGAATTTTTATTTCTTTTTCACCGTCTGCATTCGCTTGTCTTCTCAGCATGGATGTTTAATCTTCCTAGGCTTTGTGAATTGGCCCAAATGAATAAGTGGTGAGCTGTCTCTCTAGGAGCTAGAGGCTTATTCTAAGGGCCTAATCACTGAGTAAACACATCTTTGCCCTCCCTCTCACAACTGCGATATAATAGTCGAGATTCTAGCACAGTAACCTGGATATTGCAGGGACCAATGCTTTGAAATGCAGAATGGTTGATCCTCCAAAACAGACAGTGCCTGATCTTCGCCTGCCTCTTTCTTCTTTTTTAAATTAAATATTGCCAAAGAGATGCTGTTTTATTGCTTGATATTGTGCATTAGTGCCCTGGATTTCCAAGTTTAGTTTCAGTCAACACTGTCGGCTGCACTTATAGGGAACTCTGCATGTTGGATTTCTTAGTAGCCTCTTCGGCACATGTGTGTTTGGTTTGGAAGAGCATTTAAATTAAATCAGTGAGATAGCAATGTAAATCACTAATCTCTTTCCCAAAGTCTAAATGTTCCATTGCAGTGTTCTTGAGAGAAATAGGCATTTTAAAGATTTAGCCATTGCCATTGTTTAGTTAGAAATATGCTGATTTAAAAGTGGGCAGCTCTCTTGTTCCCAGTGTCTCATTAAATGTAGTTGCTGAGAAACGATCAAGCTGAATTAGAGGTTGACATCCCTCTGTCTATTCAGTTAGAGAGCTCCTAAGAAGAAGAGCTCTGAATTTGTTAATGGTGCCAGGTTCACATTACTTTCCCTAAAGCATCAGAATTCTTGACTCATTTACTAAAACTGATTTTGCATTGCCACTGCAATGGGGTATCTTTTTTTGCCAAGGGGCTGTGGCTCATATCAGTGTTCTTGTGTCTTTCGTCAAACAGGCTGGGACCCATGCTAGTTTAAAGACGCAAAGAAGACTGAAAGAGACCTCATTCTCTCTCTTGAGAAAGTTAGTCTAGAGGGGAAACTGGTAAACAATTGTAATACTAATAGAAAGAGATACAGACCCAGGAAAGGAAGCTCTTAACTCTGCCTGAGGGAATCAGGGAAGGTTTCATAGAGGCTTTTTTTTTTTTTTTTTTTTTTTTTTTGAGCCTTATAGGATGAGTAGGAATTTACTAGATAAGTATCTCTCTAACAATGTATCTGATTACAAACTTCCTAGAAGCCTGATACCGTTCTCTGCAGACATCAACATAGATGAAGAAACCCCAAGTCTTTCTTGTTCATCATTTTATTGCTACTGCTTCCTGCTGAGCCTGACACAAAGAGTATTTCAACAAATGCTTGTTGAATGAATGAACAAATGAATTAACACATAGAAGCAGGGTGGGATCAGCTGAGCTACTTATACGCAGGAGTCCTGCCCTTATTCCCATTACAAGCTGTCTCTGAGTCTCAGTCCAAAGCAGTCTGGCATCCTCATGCTATATGAGTGCTTCCACAAGCCTTGACTACAGTGTGGTTGATTTCCCTGCTACCACTGTAGTATCAGAGAAAAAACACTTACTTGGACTTGGAGTTAGACAAGTTGGGAGCCAGTCCTCGTATTATTTACTAACTAGCTGTGACATTTGAAACAAGTCCGCTTTCTAAACCTCAGTTTCCTCATATGCTAATGGGGTTAAGGATGCTATGTTAAAGATTTATTCTGGAAATTAAAGTAGATAACGTTTGTGAAAGTAACAGTGTCTCCTATTCATAGTAGATGCTTTTAGAATCTTAATCTACCTAACTGTGGCTACTCTCATCTATTATAAAGTTTACCTTTGTAAGAAATAATTTTAATGATGATTACTGTTACTATTATTTGGATTATTTATCGAGATAATTCCTAACGTCAGATTTCATTAGCCTTTCATCAGCATGAGCCTTATATTTTTCTGTAAGTTTCCTTCTTTTCTTCAGAATCCCACACAGCAGATTTTCATTTGCTGTCATCACATTCTTATTTAACATAAAGGGAAAGATACTAAGCTTCCCTGAAATTTTCCTTTGACAGAATTTCAAAGATTGGTTTGTATGTTGTCTTTACCATAAAATTTTATCTTTCCTTTCCCTGGTAATTGTGAGTATTGTTAAACTCAGTTCTTTCAAGAACTGACTACCAAGAAGGTAGTCAACAATTTAAGCTCTTTAATCATTATAGTCATTGTTGGTAAAGCTAACATGTTGCAAACCATCAATGTCTACTTATACCCATTGTTTTTATTATACTTATTACCTTGTTCAATTTCAGTTTTTAGTTTTAATTATTGCATTGAGTATCCAACTATGACAGAAGACACATTTAAGAGACCAAATGTCATTTATTGAAAGCAACTTTTATTATGGCAAAAGGGAAATAATAATTTTCTATATGAAAAGCCACAGTGGATATTTTCTGAAATATAAACTAGAAAGAATGCATGTGAACTGAATATTTTTCTATCTTTTCATATGGCAATTATATGTTATATGCTGTTAAATAAGGGCTTAATATGAGAACACATTAAGGACTTTAAAATTATCTATAGAACAAAAAGAAAACTTCATTTCAGACCTTTTCCTTTCAAATGGAAGAGACTATCCGTTGTTCAGATTAAAACCATAAAAAATATGTAAGAGGAATTTTGTCATTCTGTTTTAATGAATTTTTTTCTCTGTATTGTTGAACAGTTCAAAGTTAATATTTCTCTTTACATGTATCTATTAAATGAAAAGAATAGTAAATCCATTTTCTTTAAGCAAAATACAATTCTGTTGCAACTTCGTTTGAGATAGGCTTGCACATGTTAACAGAAATCTGCAATAGCAGTCTGAAAAATTAGATATAATCATCCTAGCCTTTTTCAGGTGTAAGGAAGTAAAATTTTTTGATATTTTAGATGCTTTAGGAACTCCACAATGTAAAGTACTCTTTTAGGGAATAGCATTTAATTTTTGTCTTTGCTGTTCACATAGACTAATTATGGCTGTCTAAAATTTAAGAAATCTTACATTAGTGGATATCTTAATTGATCAGATTTTTCTCCTCTTTTCAGAGAAAGCTTCTTGCTATCTACCTCCACCATGATGAAAGTGTATTAACCAATGTCTTCTGCTCACAAATGCTTTGTGCTGAATCCATTGTTTCTTATCTGAGTCAAAATTTTATAACCTGGGCTTGGGATCTGACAAAGGACTCCAACAGAGCAAGGTAATACTGTTGTTCACAAGTTATAAGTTGGGCTTCTATTAAAAAAAAAATCATTGTGTTTGTCATCATCATAAACATTTTTCATCCTCAGCATTAAACTCTCTACCATTGCATTTTATTAGACAAAAGCTGCTCATTGCAGCTAACACATGCAGTTATTTGCAATTGTGAAAATATACCTTAACTTATAAAAACTTTTTAAATTCAAGCATAACCTGAAAATAAAAATGTATTTCTCATCTTATTTTTGCAATGCAACAGACATTTCTAATATGTTTTTGAACTTTTAGGGAAAACTAATGTTTTTAATGATGTTCAGAAAAGGCAAAACAAGTCTAATATATAATCTTAGTAGTAAGTTTATTTTTTAATAACTTCAGTGAAGAGGGCAGGACTTTCTGCACAAGTCCAATGGAGTTGGTAATAGCTTAACTCTAGCATATGCTAATTGATGTAATCGCTTTATTGCACACATTCTTTTGCACGCAGCCAACAATACTTCCATATTCTCAATAGGGAAAAAAATTCCTTTCCTAGTTGTCAGGATGAGTTTACTTAGTTTGTTAATCATAGTATCTGTAAGTGATTAACAATTCTTCATATTTTGCCTGTTTCAGTTTCCCATCTGAAATATATTTCATCATGTTTAATTACACATGTGTCTATGACATCCCATGATGCTACTTTGGGTGTGTTAACACAATCGTAATCGCAGATTGCTGGTTTATGAACAGGGAGATTAAATTAATTCATTTCAAGGCAAGCATATTATAGTTACCTAATTTAAACGATTATAGAACAATTAGAAACCATCTGATTTGTCTTTTTGTTACTTTATGGCTTACTGAATTTTTGGTCATCATTCAGACTTTGTTTTATTTAATCTGAATCGGAAAAGAACATGATTCTTTCCTTAAATGTGAGGCAAAATAATGTTGAAGCTATTTCCTAATCTAATACTTCATTTCTTTAAGCAAATGGTTAGGAAATTTCATGAGATGACTTCGTTTTGCCTTGGAAATGTTCCCTGTTATACATAAATAAAGAATCTTTAGCACCTGTATTTGTTTAAATTAAATCAGGTTATTATTCACACTCAGTTAAAGGTGATGAAAAGCAGTGCCACAAACAGATAAAAATGCCACATCGAAGGTCTTTCATGAGGCAAAATACAGAGACTGGAGACTTGGCTAAATCTTTTGCCATTCACTGGCAGTAAGGAATCTCCTCCTTTCCTTTTATCCACAACTTGATGGAGAAGGAAACACTATTTCTAAACCATCTGTAGTGGCTAAGTTCAGTGGGCTACCTGCTGTTATTTTGTTCTATCCTCCATTTAATTCCTTAGTTCCTTTTATTTTACAATGACAAAAAATTGCAGTGTAGTTTCTTTTGAAAAACAGTGTTTGAGGGTTTTTTTTTTATGACTGGCAATCAACAGCCATGTAATTGCTTTGTTATGTTTTACTAAAGAAGTCTGTTAAGTAGCACAACTTTGATACACTAGTAATAAGAGTTTGCAGGTTACAGAGACACCTGTGGTGACCAAAGCGACAGAAGCTGCTTATTAGCAAGAGCCAGTACAGCTGTGTCCTATTAACTCCTTATGACACTTTTTAAAAAACACTAAATAAAGGTGTTGTTTAAGGCTTTAGAGCTATTTCTCAATGAACTGCAGAACTGACTATTAAGTATGATAGAATATTTCAATCTACATTTTGAATTAAGTATCTGTCATGAAAATTTGTAAAAGGTAATATTAAAGATTGAAAATAGGAACATCTAGGAATTCAATTTAATAAACATTTATAGGAACCACAAATGGGGCAATAGGAGAATGGGATGATTTCTATAATTTAAGATACTTGACATACTTATTCAAAATCTATTAATAGTTCTGTCCACATTACAAATGTAAAAGGTATCATGTTTCTCTATTTTAGAGTAACAAAAGATAATCACTGGGTACTGAGTTTAATACCTGATTGATGAAATTATCTGTAAAACAAACACCCATGACACCAATTTACCTATGTAACAAACCTTCACATGTACCCTCCAGACATAAAAGTTTTTTAAAATATCAGAAAATTAAAAAGCAAGTAATAAAAAAAATAAAGTAACAAATAAAATTACATAGCTACTTTTGATCCATCATTATTACCGTTAAGGCAAATGGGAAAATACACATTTTATAAACACAAGGTGAAAATTCATTAGAATGACATATTCCCAAAAAGGGGATTGACTTTGACATATGAAACTGTAAGATAATTGATTAGGCTGGTTTATTGCTCAAAAAAAGGGTTTAGGCCGGGCATGGTGGCTCACGCCTGTAATCCTAGCACTTTGGGAGGCCCAGGCGGGCGGATCACGAGGTCAGGAGATCAAGACCATCCTGGCTAACACGGTGAAACCCCGTCTCTACCAAAAATACAAAAAAGAAAATTAGCCGGGCATGGTGGCAGGCCCCTGTAGTCCCAGCTACTCGGGAGGCTGAGGCAGGAGAATGGCGTGAACCCGGAGGCGGAGCTTGCAGTGAGCTGAGATCTCGCCACCGCACTCCAGCCTGGGCGACAGAGCGAGACTCCGTCTCAAAAAAAGAAAAGGGGGTTTAACTTAACCACAATTTTCTTGCCGCCTATCATATCGTAGATTCGTCAAAATAAAATTGTCTAATTGGGTTTCCTACTGTATTATCTTTCTTGGATTTTTACACCACATTTATCCAGAGGTGTTTATCATGAAAACTGATTGTGTCACTCATTAGATGCTTTTAACTTTGAGTAACAAAACCTCAAGCTTTCACTCTCGATTCGGTAGACGACTGCTTACACTAATATTTGTTGATCCATGGGGTACATGTCAAAAGGTATTATGCCATCATTTGCATATTGTAAGCTGAAATGGGGACATATTAATATATGGAAATGCAGAAGAGATTTCTAGGCATCACAAGTAAGTTTGTTGTTGTGGGTTTCCTTTTAACTGTTACTTTTTTATGATAGATGTAAGTTTGGAAATAAATTCCTGGTTAATAACTTGCCTGGTCCCATATCTGGTTAACCTAGTTCACACTGGCCATAAAAATTTAGAGAGTCCTGGACCTGTAAGCTATTTGGATGTTTTCTTAGTGGTTTTCTAGGACTACCACCTGATGTTATAGCTGAGGATGTTGATATCCAAGATAGGAAGAGACTTGCCAAGCAGATACACTTTTGCTTAAGGATTACTCTGATTAAGCCTATAGAGGCATTAGTTCTTTAGTCACAGTTTACTATGGCTCTCTCATGTGTGTAGGAGATAAGTGAAGGATATAAAACTAAGTGAATGCTTTGGTGAAGTCACCAGAATATGAGTATCACTTGCTATTATAAATTAAATTTCCTAATTTCTCTAAAAATTGGAATAAAAAAAGAAACACTTCTATAAAATGTCATAACCCCTGTGATGTTGATGATTTGGATTTTTACACCTCTTAAATGATTCTAATAACCTTCTTTCTTAGTTGAATACTTAGATTTTCCAGCCCACTGTGTATAAAATATGTTGGAAAAATTCTTAAGTTGATCTTAGAACATTCCAAATATGAACTGAGACATGAAACTTTAGCTGTAATGATTAATGTCTGTCATCTCCCCTACTAAATTGTGATCTCCTGGAAGGGCTTATTCGTTTTGTTGGTTTCAGTAAACAAGGCACTTTTTTAAATTCTAGGAAAAAGAAACTCAGAAAGCATTTAGCAAATAAATATATGCATTTATTTGCATCTAAGAATGTTGCTTATAATTTCAATATTGCATATCTAAATAGGAGGTTTTTTCCTTGGAAAATATTCTACAGTCTTCTGGGCCACGATGTCTGGTTGGATTTCAGAGCCATTCTTAAAACAATGACAGGAAGCCCTTGGTAGTCTTGAGAAGTGCTAAAGGTATAATTTCTTTTTTTTTGAAGAGACAGGGTCTCGTTATGTTGCCCTGGCTGGAGTGCATAATCATAGTGCACTGCAGCCTGAAACTCCTGGCCTCAAGCAATCCTCCTGTCTCAGCCTTGCAAGTAGCTGGAAGTAGAGGCGTGTGACACCATGCCCTGTTCTAATTTCTGAAATATTGGTTTGACCAGTAATTCTGATGGAAATAGTAGGATTTACCTGTAAAAGAAAGAGCTAAAAACAGATAGGTAACAGTAAACAAGAAGATCCTGTAAATCACTTCATAGTTATGCAGGATTGGTTCCAGGACCTCCTACAGATACCAAAATCCACAGATACTCAAGTCCCTGATAGAAAATGGCATAGTATTTGCATACAACCCATGCACATCCTCCCATCTGCGTTAAGTCATCTCTAGATTACTTATAATACCTAATACAATGTAAGTGCTATGTAAATAGTTGTTATACTGTATTGTTTAGGTAAGAAAGACAAGAAAAAAGTGTACATGTTCAGTATAGACACAATATTTTTCTGAATATTTTTGATACTTGGCTAGTTTAATCAACAGATGCAGAACCCACAGATGCAGAAGACCAACTGTGTTTGTTATGTTTGTTCATTGAATAACACTGAATAATATGAACCGGGAATGGTGTGTCATCTGAGAATGAAAGGTGGAACAAGACACAATCCTAACCCTCAAAACACTCATAGTCTAGTAGGCAAAACAGACATAAGAGCTAATATATAATATGAGGTATGTATAAGGTACTTTAGGAGTATAGATGAACTTTATACTGACTTGCTGTACCCAAGGGGGTCAGAGAGGGATTTGAAAGAGATGACATACAGAAACATGAAGTTAGAACTTTACTCTTTTCTATTTAAAGATTTTATATTACCATAGTAGCATTCCTAGTCTTTTGGGTGGCAGATTTTACTACTCTTTACTAAAGGGCATTGGTGTTTAAAACCTCATAATTATGTATGGGGAACAAAGGGTCAGTGGTTGAAATAATTGAGGAGAGAAGGAATAGAGAGAGCTGGCCAGCTAATATAATCCTCT